CCAACGTGAGGCAGGGGGAAGATCCGGGTGTTTCACAGCAGGTACAAGAGCTCCAGGAATGCTGTGGGGTCAGCTGGAGGTAGCAGTGAGCACAGCAGGAGGAGGGAAGTGTTTGATGGGCTCAGAAGTCATTTTGGTTTTGGCTGCAGCACAGGGAATCTCCATGAAGGGCTGGAGTTGGTTCCAGGTGGAAATGCAGCTGCTGGAAGGGTGCAGCAGTGGTGCAAAGGCTCATGCTGGGTTTGTTGCACCTAATCCATAAGATCCAGTGCCACACAAAGCCTGCTCTGTGCAAGTGTTTCTTGGATGTGAACCTCCAAAACAACACGTGTAGTCCCAAGGATCACTGCAGACATGAGTGAATTGCACACGGAGCTTTCCAGGGAGCTCCCCTGGGCCTGGGATTACAAAGCTGGCTCTGTTCAGTGGGCACGGTTCCCTGCTGAAGGTTCCTCGGTCTGGAAGTGGTTAGTGCTCCCTGAAAGGAGCCCTGCTCCATCCTTTGTGTTTGGCTGTGGTGTTCAGCACGGCCAGGCTCTGCCCTCACACACGTTCCAAATTTGGCTCTTGCTGGAGTGGTTCATTTCCGCTCTCACCTGCACCCCTTCCAAAGCCTTTCTCCAGTTCCTCATCCCTTTAGATCTTGATGATCTATGCTCCAGGAGCCCCGGGAGATGAGGAGTTTCGGAGAAGCAGAAAAATGAGGTGTTAAGCAATTTATCCAGAGTCGAGCAGGGGAGCCCGGCCCAGGTGCGGCACACAGGGGCCTCCTGAGGGCTGCTCCCTGCCCAGCACAGCCCTTCCTCGGCCCTCAGCTCCCTCCATGGGGAAACTGGGAGAGCCGCTGTGCACCGAGCTGTGCACCGAGCTGTGCCAGCTCCGACTGCCGAGCTCCTGCCACGGCCTGTCCCTGAATGGGCTCCCTGGGTCACCAGGGACACACCCGCAGGGTCTCTGTGCGGTTCGTAACCTGCATCTGGCTCCCTGTTCCTAACGAGTCCTCAGAAACACAGACCGGAATTTTTACCATCAAACGGCTTGGAAGTGGCGTCCTGGGCCTGGCATCCAACCTCCTGGCACAGCCCTGGAAACCTGCCGTGAGGGGACCCGGGCAGGGCCGGGAGGGGACTCAGCCCGAGGGCCGTGATGGGGGGCACCCAACCTGGGGCAGTGAGGGCACTCGGGCACGGCCGTGAGGGGACCCAGGCGGGGCTGTGAGGGGAGTCGGGAGGAGCCCCGAGGGTGCTCGACACCGAGGCCATGAGGGGACCCAGGAGGTGCCCTGAGGGTGCCCGGCCCGGGGTCTCTGAGGGCGCTAGGGAGGATCCCTGAGGGTGCCCGGCCCGGGGTCTCTGAGGGCGGTAGGGAGGGTCCCTGAGGGTGCCCGGCCCGGGGTCTGAGGGCACTAGGGAGGGTCCCTGAGGGTGCCCGGCCCGGGGTCTCTGAGGGCACTAGGGAGGGTCCCTGAGGGTGCCCGGCCCGGGGTCTCGGAGCGGACTCGGGACCATCCCTGAAGCGCGGAGCGCGCGCGGACTGAGGGGCTCAGTGACGCCATCTCGCGCCGCCCGCGCACGGGGGATGCCTCGCGCCCCGGCTCCCCGTGACGTCATCTCGGGGCGCCGCGCGAGGGCAGCGCGGCCATGGCGGCGGCGGCGGTAGCGGCGGTGAGGGGGGCGCGGGGGGCGCGGCGGCTTCTCCCGGCCCTGCGGCCCCTCGGGGCCATGCCCGGGCCGCGCCCACCCGCAGGTGAGCGGGAGAGCGGGCGGCGTGAGGGGGCGGCCGGTCCTCCTCGGCTCGGCCCGGCGGGCGCGCTCCTTCGCCTGCGCGGAGCCGCGCTCGGCCCCGCGGTGTCCTTCGGCAGGGGCGCAGGGCCCGAGTCTCACCGGCAGTGCCCCGTCGGTCTCGGCTGGTTCCGCCGTGGCCGCTCGACAGGAATAGACCTGAGAACGCCCAGCGCTCCTTCCTGCGCGAGGGCGAGTTCCTCTGGGATTGTACAGGGAGTAGAGCACAGCTCGGGTGCTTCTGATGTCTCGTGTCGGGCAGAGAGCACGGTCAGGGCAACCAGCGTGTCCAGGTTCATGTCCTGGCTCAGACAGGGTTTGTAGCATATCCAAATTAATCTTTTGGCTCGCACAGCATGTTCAGGACATGCAGCATGTGCCAGCTCATGTCCTGGTTCACACAGGGTGTGCAGCATGTCCCAGTTCGTCTGCTGGCTCATACAGGGTTGTGTGATGTCCGGGTTTATCTGCTGGCTCATGTAGGCTGTGCAGCACGTTCAGATCGTGTGTGGTGTCCCGGTTCATGTCCCAGCTCATACAGCACGTTCACATCATGCAGCGTGTCCCAGTTCCTGCCCCGGCTCATACAGGGTGTCCAACATGTCCAGGTTTCTCAGCTGGCTCATACAGGCTGGGTAGACTGTTCAGATTGTGTATCATGTCCCAGTTCCTGCCCTGGCTCATACAGGGTGTCCAGCACGTCCATGGGTACCTGAGTGAGGGCAGAAGGCAGCAGTGCTCTGTTCTCTGGCCATGTCAGTACCAGGGAACTTTACATATGAGCCTGAAGGGTTTGCTTGTCCCACTCGAGGTGCAACTCGAGGTTTCACCTCAGACAGCTGGCAGGAGTGAGTGCTAAGAAAATCCAAACTCTGAGGCCTTGATTGTGGGATGTGCTCTCTTATCAAGGCCATCATGCACAGACTGGAGTTGTCATTAACTGAGGCACAGTGATGAGCTTCCTGTGTCTCCTGTGAGCAGCCCATGCTGTGCTCTGTGTTTCCTTCTCTGTTGTCTGGCCCCTGGTCCAGCTGGTAGGTTGTCACTGTGGTCTGTGGTTTCCCTGTGGGTTATGAAGAAAGAATGTGACAGAGGAAATTGTATGACAAATAGGGTCACTGTCGGGGTCGGATGTCAGATTAATTGTGCCACTGAGAGCCACTTCAGTGTTTCTGGGCAATCCAGCTCTTCCTCCACGGAAATCCCCAGTGGCTTGTTGGTATCTGTGTCTGGGAACAAAGCCATGTGCCTCCAGTGGGTTAGTGTACTCCAGCAGAGCCAGAGTTTATTCCTTAACCCGTCATTCAGGTCCTTCAGGGGAAAAATAGTGAACAGAAGCTGTGTGGGGTGGGAATAAAGAGGGAGGAGCAGGAGGTTGTGTCCTTTCAGTTGGATACAGGCTGCAGGGACAGCCATCCCCTCCCTTCGGCCATGCAGAACTGGCAGTGTTTGCTCTCACAATGCTGAGGGCTGAAGCTGCTGCAGAGGTTTTTGGGAGATGTGTTGGTGAGAGCAGGTCAGTCAGAGAATCTCTTGTCCCCAGGTTCACGTGGATCTGGTGCCCAGCTAGGGAGCCTTTTTGTCTGATGAGGTCTGAACTGGGAGTGTTTATTGTCTGCACGAGCCTCCCTGGGCCCAGGGCTGCCCTGCACGGAGCTGTTATGGTAATTTCTGCTGACCCAAATTCTCCTCTTTTGTTTTGAGCCACAGACTGCTTTGTGCTGGATTTCCCACCCTAAATCTCTAACTGGCACTGGGCTCGAATTGCTGCAGTCCTGTTCCAGGAAGAGGCTGTGTTTCCTGGGGGCTGCAGTCCTTGTCCAGGAAGAGTCTGTGTTTCCTGGGGGGCTGGTTGGCTTTGGGAATCGCTGAGGCATCCTGGTGTCTGGATCAAAAGGAGCCCGTGGGGATGAGGGTCCTTGTCTTTGCCTTGTGTTCCCCGTGTGCGAGGTGGCTCTGTGGCCATAGGCACAGGATCACTTGGGATCAGGGAGAGCTGGAAGCTGGGGAGTAGTGTGGGTTTCTCCTTCTCTCCTGGTGCAGGTGGGGCAGTGATGGGCATAGAAATGTACATGGGCTGTGATAAAGCTCCACACTTGATTAACTCGTTATCAAAAGACCTGATTTGCCCCAGCACATCACAGCACTCATCTGGGGCAAGAGCCGTTCCTTCTTCATCTCTTGGTCCTTGGAATTTGGGCTCCTTCCAAGTGTCACGTAACCTGTTAACTCTGCAGGTACTTTCTCCACAGCTCTTGTGTGCTGATAATTGTGGTTTTATACCCAGAACAGCCACAAGCTTTTCCTGTTCCTGTGCTCCAGGCAAAGACTTGCCGAGAGGCAAATGGTCTGAAGATGCTGCAGCTCGTATTTAATGAGCTGTGTCTCTCCCTGGCACTGTTAATTAAGGAGGATAAGACCAAACATTACACAAATCCAAAAGTAACTTCCAAACTGATGGGTGGTGATCTGTCACTGTGCTTTAGAGGTAGGGAGGCAGAAAACATGAATACGTGCAAAATTATAAATAGCTAGAAATAAAATTATAGATAGCTGTAGTTTCTAGAGTCAGCTGGTGTTTGTGAGTTGTTATGGTGGCTGTGGGGCATTGCTGCCTGGATGATAGAAGTGGCCTTAAGGTTACCAGGGAGCTGCTGCTGGTGTGTGTCCTTTCTGGATCCTGGAGTCAGGGAGGGAGCAAAATTCCCTCTTTTATTTCTGCTGGTTGGGAAATGTGTGTGTGTGTGTGTATATGTACAACTGCAGTATCCTACAGCACCCAGCATAACAGGAGCATGAAATAAGTGCACCCTGGGTAAATATATATAAATATATAAAATATACATAAATATAGAATATAAATATATTATATATATAAATAAAATATGTAACCCTTGGGCTGCAGGCCCTTCCCCTCTGAAGCTCGATGGGCTGGACAGTGAGTGCTCCCCTGCTTTCCACTGTGGTCACCCAGGCTGTTTTCCTTGCTGCTTTCCCAGATGATCCCAACAAAGGCAGTTGAATGGAAGTTACAGAACATGTCCTGTGATAATGCAGCAGAGCTGTTTGTGACGCAGAGAGCACAGTTATGTGTGTAGGAGGTGTTCAGATGCATTAAGAACTATTTGTGGGCTCTTTTCTTTAAGGGCAGAATGACTGGGGAGTAATTCAAGCTTCTGGCTGCAGAAGTGGATCTTGATTCAAAGCTTTCTATGAGGAGGAGGAGAAGGAAGAATGAGGACTGACAGCCTCCTCGATCAGCTCTTGGGGAAGAGGCAGGAGCCAGGAGTGCTGTCAGAGCTCAGGGGTTTGTGTTCTCCTGATCTGGAGCGAGTCAGAGCCCAACATGAGGGTCTGGAGCAGCAAGACCTGTTCTCAGTGACCACACCAGCTGTAGGACCTGCTGTGGGTGGCAGGAGGTTTGCAGAGCACTTGTGGAGGGAGGTTGAGACTTCCCAAGGTGAGCTTGAGGCTGACAAGGGATGTTGCTGAAAGGGCTGGGATGGAGAGTTCACTTGAGGGCTGTGGCAGGGTGGAGGAAGGTTCAGGAGGGAGCCAAGCTCTCCCAGCATGTCAGCTGGCCTGGGGGCAGAGGATGGCCAAAGAAGCTGTTTCCAGGGGGGTCACAGGTGCACTTTGGGACTCTCACTGTGGTTTTTGGTTCAGTGTTTTTCCGTGTTTTTGTACCCACTCATCTAAAGAAAGGACACCTTGAAGATGTAGAGTGTAGGGTTTGCCTCCTTCCCTTGCTGGATGAAACAGCCTGCAGGCACAGAGTGAGCTGTAAGAAAAGCCTGGGCTTGTCACTGCTTCCTGCCACTTCTGCTGCTTATCGAGGTTCTCCCTGCTCTGCCCAGGCTGTGCTGGTCCCTTCTCTGCTTCCCAGAGCAGCTCTGTCTGTTTATATTCATGGTAGGGCTGGAGGAGGCCAAGTCACTGCCTGCCCCAGGTCAAATCCAAACCCTCCAGGACCCTGCTCTGGCACAGGCCATTCTCCCAACAGTGCAGAGATCACACCAAGGAAAGGGCTTTGGGCAGAGCTCTGTAGTGCTGAAAATGGTCTTTTTGTGGCCAGGTTTGGCTTTGATTCATCCTCTACCAAAAAGAAGACTGTTTGGGTTCACCTGGGCACAATGGAAGGAGGAGAATTGGGAATCCCTGACCTTAACAGGGCTGGTGACATTTCCCAACTGGTCCTGTTTTCCCCACTGATTTTGTTGATTGGTGGTTTTGCTGCTGCATGTGCTGCTCGCCCTGGAGCCAGCTTTGTTGGGAGATGTAATCCCTGTGCTTGGACAGTCAAGGGCCAAGTATTTATTGCCAGTTTATGTTTTCACAGGCAGGGATATGGGAGTTGTCTTCAGCCTGGCCAGGTAACAGCAATGGAAGCTGCAGGCTGCCTCTTCCTCACTGCTTAATTCCTTGGGAAGGCTGCTAATTGTCATCTTCTGGATAGAATTTTAATTCAGAAGAGTAAAGGCAATGCCAGAGGGGAATAGTGGCTTTTGGATTGTGAGGGAACTTCAGTCTTGCTTGCACAGTGTAACTCCCACAGGATTGCTTAGGTGGGACCTTTAAGGACTGCTCCTGTTGCTGCTGGACTTGTGGTGTGTAGCGAAGTATCTTCACTTGTGTCTTTAGCAAAAGGAGCAGCATGTTTGCAAAGACAGGCACTCCATCGTTGGAGCCTCCGGTACAACATTCCCGCCAGCAGCATTCCCGCTGTGCGGACATACAGCACCCAGACGGCGGAGAACAAAGAGGAGGAGCCCCTGCACACCATCATCAGCAACACGGAGAACGTGAAAGGTGGGCACGGACACAGGGCCTGTGGGGACACCCTTGGGGTGTGCCTGGGACAAGCTGTGGGTGCAGGTGACCCCTCCTCTGGAGGAGGTGCAGGTTTGGTCCTCACATCCTTTGAATCTGAACTGCACCATCGCCTCCCAGAACTGGGATGTGGAGGTCAGAATGGCCTTTCCTGAGAAACAAGGCCATCAAGGCTGCATCCATGGGCTTAGCCAGGCTATTGATGGTCGTGTGTGTGTGTGTGTGGAGGCTCCACAGGCACTAGAATTGGCTAAAAAGAGATTTTTTTTTTGTCCCAGAAAAGCTGTGCCTGCCCAGGTCATTGCTGTGGATCCCGGAGGTCTAATGAGAATCCTGGCATCAGCCCTTTAGTTAGAGTGAGTTGCTTTGCACATCTCCAGGGAGAGGTGCTCTAAAGCAAAGTCACGTGAATTATTCCAGCATAGAAATAATGTCTAAACTCTGTGCCTCCATGGTTTTTCTGGGAGGTACTTTTGAGACTGCAAGGCTTTGAACCCCCCAGTGGGGTTGATGTGCTGCTCCAGCTGCTGCCCACACCTGGAATTCACTCCATCCCTGGGGGATGTAGGTTCCCCCAGGTGACCTGGGACCTGTGGCTTTGCCCATGTTGCCTCAGGGTTCTCTAATGCCTCTTGCAGGAAGGATGCTATTTTTAAGAGGCCAGGGTCTCTCAGCTGAGATTTTTGTGGTGTTACTCTCTCTGAGGAAATGTCTCTTCCCGGGCACAGCTCCCCCCTGCAGAGGTGGCTGTAGGTATGTGCTCGTTGAGGTGCAGAATCCAAGTGTCTGTTGGCAAAGTTGCCTCAAAGTGGGGTGTAAACAGCACCTTTGTTGTCCTTGTTGGAGGCCATGGCTGCCTGTGTCCCATCCTGCTTCAGGCTGTCACTCCTGGGAAGCTGAAGCACATGGTTAGACTGTGGTTTTGCCTTCCTTCCCAAAAGGACCCTGGTGAAGTGCCTTAAAGGTGTGTCTGTGACTCTCACAGAATCATGGAATGGTTTGGGTTGGAAGGGACATTAAAGCTCATCCTGTTCCACCCCCTGCCATGGGCAGGGACACCTTCCACTAGACCAGGTTGCTCCAAACCCCACCCAACCTGGCCTTGAACACTTCCAGGGATGGGACAGCCACAGCCTCTCTGGGCAACCTCACCACACTTACAGGGAAGTATTTCTTCCCAATATCCCATCTAACTCTGCCCTGTGTCAGTGGGAAGCCAGTGCCCCTTGTCCTGCCACTCCAGACCCTTTCCCAAAGTCCTTCTCCAGCTCTCTTGGAGCCCCTTTAGGCACTGGAAGGGGCTCTAAGGTCTCCCTGGAGCCTTCTCTTCTCCAGGCTGAGCAACCCCAACTCTAACGTTTTATTCCAGGTGCAGCTTCTAAACATGAGTTTCAGGCTGAAACAAAGAAACTGCTGGACATTGTTGCCCGTTCCCTGTACTCGGAGAAGGAGGTGAGACACCCACTGTTTGCTGGGAGATTTTCTGTTGGCAAAGCTCTGTCTCTGTCAAGGGGTACATCTCAAACAGTTGAGCTGGGAGAGTGAACTGCTCCGTTCCAGCAAGTCCTGTGCTGTTCATGTCAGGCTTCCTTGAATGATGTTTTTAAAACAATTTTAAATGTTTTTAAAACAATTTTTAGGTACAGCCAGAGGACTCTGTGAGTCTCAGAGCCTCTGCACTTTCATGCCAAGTTCAGACAAACGGTTCTCCTGGCAGATAATGGGGAAACACAGTTTGGGGAGCTGGGAATTAGTCTGTGGGCAGCCAGTGAGCTCCTGGGTCTCTGGGAGTGCCGTGCAGGGGACAAGGCCAGGCTGCAGTGTGAGGTTGTGTCTCGTCCCCAGGTGTTTATCCGGGAGCTGATCTCCAATGGCAGCGACGCGCTGGAGAAGCTGCGCCATCGGCTGATGACAGAGGGGAAGGCCTTGCCAGAGATGGAGATCCATCTGCAGACAGACAGTGGAAAGGGAACCATCACTATCCAGGTATGTCCCTTTGGTAACAGGAGTGTTATTCCTTGCTGCTCATATCACTGGCCTTTGTCCCATGAAGGATCAGTGGAAGCTGAGCAGCAGCACAGTTCCATTGAAGTGTGGTGTCCTCAGCCGGGCTCTGGTTCATGAGACTGTAACCTGAGGATGTGATGAAAACCCATCAATTTATCTGCTCCTCACTTGTCCCCATAGGAAAATTTACTGCTCCTTCTTTCCCTGTTGGGAACTACCAGTAGCTTTTCTCCCACCCCTGCACTTCCCAGGCCGTGTGTGTGTTTCTCACTAGTGGGTAAGTTGTGAGTCTGTTTTCATCCTGATGTTTGGGGAGGGTTTCCCACACCTCCTTAAGTCCAAGGTGTTACCTGGTAGTTTGCAGACCCTCCCTCTCACCTGGGTCATGGGAGGTGCAGGGGTGGTGAGAAGAACCTCCCACTGCTGACTGTCTCTATCTCCTGCTGCTCAAGGACAGGCCAAGTCCAGCTGATGCTGAGGTTCTGCCTTAAGGTACAGGTGGGACTGTAGATTTGGGCAGTACCACAGCACTTCCCTGTGCCCAGGCTGTGGTTGTTCCCTACTGGTGACACAGTGCTGATTGGGAGGGGGACAGTCAGTGTGAATGTGGGCCTCAGCATGGGGAGGGGAGTGGAGCTGGGCCTTCTCTCTCTACTTTGGCTGCTCTTGTTTGTGGCTCTGTCCAGGGTGGACAGCTGAGCCTCAGTTTTGGTGTTTTCTTGGCAAAGTTCTTGATGCAAAGAAGGCACACTGGTCACTTTGCTCATGGAGCTGTGTCAGCTGCGGGTGCAGCTGTGGGTGTTCTCAAGAGAGTGGAGGAGAAGGAAGAGAGCAATGAGGGAGTGAAAGCTGACTGAAGCAGGTCCAGGGGGGACGTGGCACAGACAAAGCACAGGGGCTGACATTTTTCACGTGGGACAAAGCAGGGGCTGTTAGAGCCACGTAGTTATTTTATATTTCTGTTTCTCTGCAGAACAAGCGCTGCGGTTGCCATGGGGAAGTTAATGCTCGTCAGTGGGCAACACAGTCATCAACCAGAGCTTCTCAAACCGTAGTGCAGGGGCTTTGCTATTCCTCTCACACCTGACTGTTGCAGTTTTCTGACTCCTGTGTAACACCCCTTGTTTAATGAGCCCTCGCTTAGCCCCAGGCAGGGTGTCACTCCTGCCTTGCTCTTGTCTTTCCCTTTGGAGACCACAGTGGACACAAAGCCTCAGACTCCACTGAGACATTCCCTGTGGAAGCTGTCCGCTTCTTTGGCAGTCTAGTTGGAGACCTGTTTGCCATCCCAGTTGGATGTGTCAGGGACTGGGCTTTTTATAACCCCCTGCCTGCCTGTGCCTCTCTAATGCCATTAAATGAGTCTTAACTAGGAGGCTTTTAACTGCAGCAGCCCTGGGCTGTGAGGAGCAGCAAGAACAGCACTGCTCCAATCTCTTAATAGCTTTGCCTTCTCCAGAGTGCCGAAAGCTCCTTACCTCCAGTCAGGGGGTTATTTATAACCTCCTGAAGAAGCAAACTGCTTACAATGATTGCTGTGAATGAGCCTCATTCAGAACATCTCCCTACCTTTCAGAAGGCAAAGGTGCAGGAAAACTTGCTGCAATGATTGAGGCAGAGGTGGATCTGTCCCTTAGCTGCTGTGTGTTCTCTGTATTCACTAGGACCCACCTAAACAGAGGCAGCAGGTCCCTCGTATATGACCTGTAGCAGTGATCACTCCTTTTGTTTTTCCTAGAAAGGTCCCACTGTCTCACCCCTGGATCCTTTTCAGATCTTCAGGCTGCTCTTGGCCTCTGAACCTGCTGAATCTCTCCCCTCCCCTTCCAAGCCCTGTAGCATCTCTTTGTGTCTCACAGTTGAGAAAAGGCAGGTCTGTAATGTGTGATGGCCATTACAGGCATGTTCCTGGGGGGATTATGTAGCTCTGGTAAAGGATTACATTCATCTCTGTTCAGTGACTGTTCACTTCTCTGCCAGAACTGAATTCCAATCACAAGCACAGCAAGTCTCAGAATTTTGATACGATGTCCTCATTCGGGGATACCCCATCTAAGCACTGCAGTGTTGTATCTGCTAAAAGGAGTGTGTTCACTGGATTCCACCACCTCTGTCCCTTCACCAAAGTCACGTTGTTTTAGCAAATTCCACTGTTTCCTCCATCCCTTTGCAACCTGCCTCGTGTTTCTAGGACAGCTCCATCTGTAGCAGCCACAGCCTGCAAGGTCAGAGCTCTTAAGAAAATCTATTTGAAAACGTGCGGGGTGTGTTTTCAATGAGGACAGCTCTGCAGAGCTCTGCAGTTCCGCATGCTAAGGCTTTACAGACGCCTTTTTGGACCCTTTGAGGTGGGAACAGAGAACCCCTTACGGATCCCAGGGCCCTGTGAGCACGCAGCTCACCTTCAGCAGCTGCAGGAGGTGACAGGCTGTGCTGTAGTGGTGGTAGGGCTGCTCAGTTCTGCTGTGCTCTGTGAGCTCGGGGCTGCAGCCCTGCTCCTTGCTGGTGCTTAATTTAGGGCTAGGACTGTTTAGAGGAAATGGTTTGAAGTGTTTACAGAGCTGATGGCTGCTGCTGGGGGAGGGAGGGAGCGTGACTGCTGCTTTAACATGGGAAAGCAGCGCAGTCGCTGCCAGAGCTTGGGCTGCTCAGTTCCCTTTGCCGGGCTTTCATCTCGCTGTTGCAGTCATCCAAAATCCGTGTCTGTGAAGCCACAAAATAACCAGTTTGCTGTGTTGGGGAGGAGTTAAAATCACTGCAAAATCCACTCCTCCCTGTAACAGCTCCCTGTATCACTGAGCAATCTCTCCTGCCTTACCAGTGACAAACAGCCTGTAAAAAGGACTGGGCTGTCGAGGGGCTCCAGTAAGGATTGGGAAGTTTGAGCTGTAAGGATTGGGATGTTTGGGCTGTAGCAGTTCAGTGCAGATGCACCTGCATGTCCAGCAAAGCTTGGGGCAGGTGGGGAGCAGGTCCCCCTTCCCTGCATGCAGCACTGCAGCATCCGTGTGCCACCTGGGCAGGGGATGGACAGGTGGACTGGGAGGGGTGAATCTGGCTGCACTTTGGCAAGCCTTGGAATTAAGCTTTCAGGAACGTGCCACATTGCAGGGATGGGTTACAGCTTCCAGTGGTTGCATCATCTTCAACAAATAAGCCAGGGAACCAGAAATGCAAACACGTCTCAAATAACCTGCGGCCTAGGGAAGGAAGTGCAGAATATTTTAGTTCTCTTCATGCCAGAATAAAAGCCTGTCACATTTAAAAATGGGAAGGTCAAAGTGGATGAAATGAAGTACTTTTTCTGGACAGCAGGTATTTAGACCTGGATGGGTGGAGACTGAGACTGGTATTGGAAAGGCAAACTCAGGCTCCCTGCTTTGGACAGCTTCTGTGTACTAGGCCAAGATCACCTTGTGTCCATGTGCATCAGTTTTATTGTGGCTTTTCTTCTGCTGGATGCTGCTGCTGCAGATGCCATGTTGGTTCTAAACCAGAACGTTGCTCTAGTGCAGCTGCTGTCCTGGTCTTGTGAATTTTAAGTTTCTTTAATCAAGTTATTTCAATAACGGGGGGCACACACATTTGGGGATTTTTTTACCTTGTCAGATGGTGAAAGCAGCATGTCCTTATTTTATAATATAGTCAGTGCTCTTCTGATGCCCCGTTGAGGTTTTACTGTGAAATAAACATTTGTTTTGCAACAAAGTGAAATGAAAGACACTGTAGCTCAGCCAGGTACCTCTGACTGGGTGTTCTTTCAGATGCAGCCGTGGCAAAGGCAGCAGTTACTGGTTAGTTAATGGGTTATTTGGTGTAACAAAGCTCTGCAATACTTTAAATTGGACTCAGGTAATGAGCAAAGCTCTTACATTGCCCAGGTTCTTGTTTACCAGCATGGTCTCTGCAAACATCCAGCACTCACACCACAGGGTGAGAACAAAGGGCACAGAAGGCACAAAGGTCCTGTGCAGTTCAGCAGCAGGTTTGGTACCTGGGAGGTCTCCACACATAAAAAGATGCTAAAAGCAACATTCAGCTGGTGTATCTTTGGGGTTAATGTTACTGAGCTTAGTTCAGCAGCTGTGGCCACAAGCCCTTCATGGTCCCTCAGCAGACGGGGTGAAGGTCTGCAGCCTGTTGTGTTGTCTTGTAGAGGGGATGGTTTGGGGGAAGCTCTTTACTCTGCACCTTAAGAAGTCCCAGAAGGAAAATTCAACCAGGTGAGGAGGTGGAGTAACAGCAGGACTTCTGTACTTAACCTTCAGTTTACGAAGGATCAGCTCACTGAACTCTGCATCTTGGTTTCTCCAAGCTGGGGAGAAACGTTTGGCCCTTGGAACTCTGAGCGTATCCCTCACGTCTTGGATTTTGTGAAGCCCCATGAACAAATTGCTTTGTGCTGTTATCAGTAGCTCTGCTGTGGCTGTTGTCAGCCTGATAAAAGATTTCTTGCAGGCTGAAGGGAGGGCTTGAAACTGTCTGCAGGGGTAGAAAAGTTGTGCTGTTGATGGAGGAGCAGTGGCTGGCTGGTGGTGGGTAGAAGGTGTTTGCAGGTGTTGTGTGATGGGTGGTTCCTGCCTCAGAGGCTGAGCAGTGGCTGGTGCAGCACAGAACACAGAAGGGCAGTGCAACTCCTGCCAGCTCCTTCCTTGGATTTCATGGAGCTGGAGCTGCCAGTGCTTGTGTTGGCTCAGCCTGAGGCTGTTCATGGGCACGTTCAGCTGATTCCATCCCTGGAGAGCTCCTGCTCTGCAGAGCTGAGCTCCCATCTCTCCGCTGCTGCTTCATTCCCCATTCCCCCAAGCTGCACCATGTGGTGAAGGGAGCCCAGAGGGCAGCTGCAGGAAATCTGGGCACAGCAAAGGCGGGTTGGATCTTGATGTCATCTTCATCCAAACTGCCCAGGTGTTCTCCTGCAGTAGGGAATGCCTGCTTTGCCAGGATCTTCACTTCCCGCTCTCCCTGTCCATGTCCCAGCCCTGTTGTGGAGTCAGCCTGGTTTGAGTCGTGCTCTCTTTGTTCCTTGCAATTCCCCCTCACCAAACTGGTTTCCAGGAATTGTCATTAAGCATTTTGCAGTAAGTTTGGAAGAGTGTTCAGAATTCAAGAGCCAAATAAATTCATGGGGTAGGGATGTATTTTTTTTTTAACATGCTGGAATTTGGGAATGACATGCTGTACTATAAATAGGAGTGGATCAGAGGAGTTAAGAGTTCTGTTCAGGGTCTGGCATGAACAAAAACTGAACCAGATGCTGAAAACTGCTCTTTCTGGCTTTTTCTTCCCTGGGGGAAGGGACCATGTCAGATTCCTGAGATTTTGCCATACACTGTTTATTTTTCCTGGCTTTTCATCTCTCACTGTTGAGATCTTACTGGGCATCATCCCTCCTCTCAGCCAAGTGGACTGACTAGCCTTAATGTATTTAATCAAGGGAAAGGTGTTGCTGTGCTGTGACTTGTGGGGATGTAGGAAAATGTCTTACCCTCATGGAACCTCACAAGTTGAACAGTTCAATCAATCCTTCATTAAGAAATATGTACTGACATTCATGTACCTTGCTAGAAATAAGCCCAGTAAGTGGGTGGCAGAGCTGTGCTGGGCCAGAAGTCACTCTGGTCCCTCACCTCTGAGCCGTGGAGCAGCAGCCAGCTCTGCTGCAGCTGGTTTTGCTGACCCTGCACACTGAATCCCAGCCCTGCTTGCGGCACTGGGAATGTGTCAGCCTGCTCCAGATGTGCCAGCTGCTGTCAGCTGCGATAACTGTGCTCACAGGTAGAGCTGAGCTCCTCATGGGAGTGAGAATCACCTGTCACTTGGCTAATTTTCATCCTGCTTCCACCTCAGGAGTGGCTCAGAGAACCTGTAAAAGTGGCTTCTCGGGATGTTTCTTGACAGGTAGAGAAGCTGCTGAGATTTGGGAAGGGGCGAGGGCACTGGGTTCTCAGAAGTGGGATCCTGGAGAGCAGTAGCCTGCCCTTTGCTCCTGTGGAAAATGCACGTGGAGCAAGGCTGAAAATACATTGGACAATAGAGTGGGAAAGATTTTTGCTGGGATCCTGTGTGAGAGGGTGGCCATTTCTAGCTGGGGTTTGCTGTTAACCCATGTTGCCTCGGGGTCCATGCAGATTGAAGCTGCATCCAGGTCTGAGACTTGCTGCAGCCTTTGCTGGGTGGTGCTGCTGCAGGCTCTGCTGCCTGAGACATGTGAGCCAGCAGCAGGGAGATGTTTATCTGCATGCAGCAATGCAAAGCTGGGATAAACTGAGGATGACAAGGAGCCATGTGCCTCCAAAGCCATGAGCACATGGCTCCACAGAGCACCATGAGGTGTGGCCACTGCACTGGGGTTAGCCTGTTCCCACGGGAATGCAATTCCCAGCTCTCTGGTACCTGGATATCGACAGTGTCATATTCGTGGAGCACAGAATGAGGGCGAGAGGAGGGAGGAAAAGACAGAGAGATGGAGATCAGTGCCTGTGGAGTTTGTAGACAAGGGTTTGCACTACCTGAGAGTTCAGGGATTCACTGCTCTGCCACTGATTCCTGGTGTGAGGGCATTGGTTCCACATCTGCCAAATGGAAATAAACTGCTTCTCACTGCTCCTCAACTCCCCTCTGGACCAGTTCAGGATTGGAAGGTGTCTGTGCACAGCACCTGGCACGGCGAGGCCATGGCTGGGTGAGATCTCCTTCCTGCCCTGCCATCCCGTGCTTTTTAGAGGGATGTAGAATCCAGCCTGTCCTGGCATGGTTTTGTCTTTCCTTGAGGAATGGTCGGAGTCTCTGAGCTTTCTGGAGGTTTATAGGCAAAGGACAGCTGTGGGTGTCCCCAGAGCTCTGTGCCCTTTGAGTCTGTGTTCCTGACCATGTGCAGGGGGGTCACAGCTGGAAGTCTGCTGTTGGATTTACTGCTCAGAGGGAAAGGAGAGAGTGGGAGATAGGGGCAGAAGTTGCTGGGGTGCTGTGTGCTAAAGCAATGCTTCCCTACTGTTATTTCAGCTGCAACTGCTGTTTCTTTTCAGGACACAGGTATTGGGATGACCCAGGAGGAGCTGGTTTCTAATCTCGGAACCATTGCTCGATCAGGCTCAAAGGTAACAACACCCTTCTCCCTCCCTTAGAAAACTCTTCTCCAGTTACAGCCACTTTTGTTCTCCCAGTAATTTCTCATTCCATTTTTTCCCTTGGCCCCCAGCCCAGCTGTGAAATTACACCCTACCTGTGGAGTCTTCTGGCTCTTAATGGTCTCTGCTTGTTTTTCTTTACTGCCAGAGTTGCTCTAAGCAATGCTCCCCTCTTCCAGAAGTGCAGTCCCTTTGGAGAAACCCTTTTCCTTGGGCATCCTCCTCAGAGCACTGATGCAGAAGTGTGGGATGAGGGTGCTGGAATGCCAAGCTGCAGTGCCTGAGGAGCCTGGCTGGGGGATGGATTGCAGCCTCCCAGCGATACCTGAAGTCACTGTGTGCTTGGTTTGTGTCTCCTTTGTTCCTCCAGGCTTTTCTAGATGCTCTGCAGAGCCAGGCTGAAGCCAGCAGTAAAATCATCGGCCAGTTTGGAGTGGGTTTCTACTCAGCCTTCATGGTGGCTGATAAAGTGGAGGTGTTCTCCCAGTCTGCAGAGCCAGGCAGCCTGGGCTACCACTGGTCTTCCGATGGGTAAGGCTGGAGAAGGGGGTGGCAGCATGGGGGGCTGTGTCCAGACCAGGCACGGACTGAAAACTGTGCAAAGACAGGCTTGTGTGGCCTTTCAGGACCTGGCTGACTGGTTTAGGTCCTGCTCAGGTTATACATGGTAGCAAAGTGTGGCCAAATGTGCCAGGGTGGAAACCCCAAGGACAAACTTGCTGCATCAGAGCAGGTGTGTTGTGGACAAAGAGAGTACCAGGCAATCAGCTTAGGGGGGCCCCAGGCTGCAGGGACAGATTTAACCTCTTGGGTCTTGTCTTCCCCCGGGGTTTGGCTTGAGGGCACCCACAGTGAGCAGAGCTTGTGCAGTGCTGGGGTCTGTAGGAACATCTTTTCTCTAGGTCAGATCTTTGCGCTCATCCTTTGCTTTTTTTTTGTCATGGCAAAGCTGTGGGCTGTGGGACCACGGTGAAATTGGAGCTTCTGCGGGTGACAAGCTCAGCATGCCCTTAAAATCTCCTCAGAATAAAGAATGTACTAAGTTATTTAAATTATTAGGGAACATCTGTTAATGGAGATGTCAGACTCTCTTGGGTTTTCAGTAGCTGGTGTCTTTGCAGAGCAGTGTGTCCTGGGTCTGGCACTGCAGGGAAAACAGCCACATACAAACAGCCACATGTTTTGGAGGGTTTCTCAGAGCCACAGGGAGCATTCAGGCATCCAAGACTTTTTGCCTTTTCCTCTTGGCACTGAAGTGTTGTGCATGCTCTTAGTTTAATAAACCATTTTTCTGTCCTATCATGGATGTATCTGAGGCACAAGCTGACTCAGGGTTTGTTTCTAATCCTAGTTCAGGAATGTTTGAGATCGCAGAAGCATCTGGGGTCAGGACTGGGACTAAGATTATTATCCATCTCAAAGAAGACTGCAAGGAGTTTGCAAGTGAAGACCGAGTGAAGGGTGAGTGGAGGAGGGCGATGCTGTTACCCCCAGGGGCTCTTTGGAGGCTGTTGGTGCCCTTGAGTGGGAGGAGATTTTACAGCGTTTTTCCTCTCCTGCAGCTCCTTTCAGCTGCACTTACCGAGGGAATTCTTACTGTGTTGTTTTCACAAAGGTGACTCTTCTGTGTCTTCTTTCCATTCCAGAGGTGGTGACGAAATACAGCAACTTCATCAGCTTCCCCCTGTACCTCAATGGGAAAAGAATTAACACGTTGCAGGTGAGCAGGAGGCCACAGGCAGGTCACTCATGGAGATGAACCACTTTAATCCTCCAGTGGAGACAGGAAACAGGATAAAGCTGCTGCTGTCCCTGGAAATCAGGGAAGGATTGTCCAGCGTATCACAGACCTTGTAGTGATCAGTTAATTAGAACAAAAGGAGACAATCCAGCAGAAGTTGTGCCTGGAGCTGCTTGTTTGCATTTATTGTGGAGTATTCTTGCAGATTGGCAAGATCTGGGTCTTCCCTTAACCCAAATTATTATTTCAGTGCTTTATAATGCTTATTTTAACTGTTTAAGCCAGGTGACATGTTAGTGCTGTAGGGATTGCTCATATCACTGGTGTGCTGACACCTCTCCCTGCAGTTCTTTTCCTTCAGCATGGGATAGCCAGTGCCAGGGATTGGCTTTTTTAGCAGCTCAGCTCACAACCAAATTTATTCCCCTCTCCTAGCTGAGCACTGCTTGATGCTGGCATTTTCTGACCACTTAAGTGATATTGCAGCCAGATCCATTTTAGTCAGATGTTCTTGGCCCAATTGCAGGCATCACCTGGGAGAAATTAATTATCTTTAAAACAAAAATCAATGAATCGTTTTCCTCCAGCATCTCCTCCTCTGATTGTTTAAAGCTTCCTCCCGTGTAAGACAGCAGGTAGGGAGCATGTGTGTGGCTTCTTTTGTTTCCTGGAATGTGGCACTGACTGAACAAACTTTCAAGACTGTACTTAAACATTTTATCATGTTAATTTATCTAAGATTCTGTAATTGCTGTTATTAGTCACTGATTATTTATTTGGATTCCTGCATAATAGTGTTTCTCTTCCAAAGGCTTTCTAGCTGTGCCCCTTAATTAGACAGCTGTTTGCTCTCTCTACCTGACAATCAATAGAACAGGCTCCCTGGAGAAGAGCAGCAGTAGAGCAAGGGGTGAAATGCCCTTAATAGAGTCATGGACTTTTATCTCCTCATCAGAAAGTCTGTTTTCCCTTGGGATACAGCAACAGCTTTATTCATTATGCTCCCGTTTCTTTATCCAGGATCTTGGCTTTGTGTTTTTCCACACGTCAGTGTCAGTTCACTGCAAACAGAGCCACAGTTAGTTCCCTGGTGGGGATTCTCCTAGATGAGTTCCTGAATGCTTGCCATGTATCTCACAGTATGGAGCTGGAGGCTTTTCCAATCTAACTGGGATAACTGTAGCTACAAGTGAGCCTCTGGGAATGCAACACTTTACCCAACACAGCTGCTGTAAAGCACCTGAGTTCCCAATGAGTCCCTAATCCTACCTGTGATTCTGCAAACCCTCCAGGACACTTGTGTGTGCTGGAAATGTTATGAAGCCACCTGTGGAACAAGACTCTGAGGCAGAGGAATCCTTAAGGCAATAGGGCTAGGCTGCCAGGGCCCTGAATCCCTTGGACTCTGGTAGGTGGAGGGTGGGCTGGATGTTTGTGTTGCCCCCAGAAATCACTCTTGTCACCCTTGAGGGCTTGGGTGGCACAGAGTGGCAGTGGGTGAGGTGGGCTTCACCCCGCTGGAAACATGAGGTTCTTAGTTGAGTGCCACATCTTTGCTAGAGGGGAGTCTTTTGCTGAGGTGCTGAAAACTGAGATGTGATGTGAGCATGGGCTGAGTGTTCCAGGAAGTGTTGGAGGGGTTAGAGCAGCAGCAGGTGGAAGATGTGGCCATGGGGCAGGGCCTGCTCTGGACCCTGTGGCTTCAACACACATGTTGATATGTGAAACAGTACGGGAACACTTTGTGACCCTGCAGCAGGGATGGCTCAGTGGTTCACAAAGCATCTCCTAAACTGCCCCAGAACAAAGCAGCAGAAAACAGGCAGTGCAGGAGTTCTTCACAGGTTTTCAGCTGGGCTAGTGACCTCCATCACAGAGGCAGGCTGAGTGCAACAGACTCACTTGAACTTTCACTTTTCCTTTGCTGGTCAGGCCTTGAGATATTTGACTAGTACTGCCAGTCAGCCGAGCTGTGGGATCTGTCCAGGAGGCTCTTGGCCATGGGCAAGTGTGAGGCAATGGAGATTAGCCAAATCCCTTTTGTTTTGGGCTACACAAAGCTGCCTTATGTATGCTACAGGGCAAGAGGTACCTCTGAGGTCAGCTGAGGGGCAGTCATTTCTAGTCAGTGCCCCTGGGTTATGCAGAGGAGTCTGTCTGAAAGATCTTATTTCCTTGCTCCATCATCCTGGAGGGAAAGTGCACCTCAAGGAGAGCCCTGTGCTGTGAAGCCATAAGTCTTCAGAGCTGATGGGAAGTCCTCTCCCTGCTGCTCCTCCACAGGCTCTCTGGATGCTGGACCCCAAGGACATTGGAGAGTGGCAGCACGAGGAGTTCTACCGCTTCATAGCGCAGGCGTACGACAAGCCCCGCTACGTCCTGCACTACAGGGCCGACGCTCCCCTCAACATCCGCAGCATCTTCTACGTGCCCGAGCAAGTACGTGTCCTCCTGCCCAGGGAACGTGGGACATCTGCCCAGGGAACATGGGACATCTGCCCAGGGAACATGGGACATCTGCCCAGCTGCTCTGAAAGGGGAGAACAGGAGAACAGGACAGCTCCTTAGGGAAAGGAGGCAGCTAAGGATGCAGAATGTCAGGGAGGAAGGAGTATCCCCTGTGGCATCTCTGCAGTGGGCTGGGGCCACAGGGTGGTTGTGGGGATGCTGAGCCACAGGGGAATGGCTCAGGTAGGTCCCCAGGAAAACCAGCCAAGATTTCAGCTCTTGTTGGGTTCAGCACTGTAGGGAAGACCACAGGGTGACCTGGTAGTGTGCAGCTGGGTGCCCTGCACAGTGCTGGCATTACCTCCTGTCTCTTGTTCCTGCAGAAACCATCCATGTTTGACATCAGCAGGGAAATGGGCTCCAGTGTTGCCCTCTACAGCCGCAAAATCCTCATCCAAACCAAAGCTGCAGACATCCTGCCTAAGTGGCTGCGTTTTCTTAGAGGTGTGTGCTGGGACCAGGAACAGTGGGCTGTGGCCCATGGCTTCCTGAGGGGTGCATTCCTGAGCCTGGCACTCGTGTCTGCCTCACTGTTCAGGGGTTGCTCTGTGTTGCAGGTGTTGTGGACAGTGAGGATATACCTCTGAACCTCAGCAGGGAGCTCCTGCAGGAGAGTGCCCTTATCAGGTAAGCCAGAGGTAGATCCTGTGGACTGCTGAGGCTCTTTCAGCTTCTTGCTGGCTAAGAAGGGAACACAGTGGAATAGTTAGAGGGGCTTGGAGGGACCTGGCATGTAAACTGCAGCATCCTTGAGAATTTCTGTAGTCCACAAAGTGAGTTGTTTCTCAGACAGCTGCCATTGTTGGAGTATAAGAGTAGGCTCTTTCTCCTTAACACCAGAGTTTGTTACCTTGTTGGGTTTGATGGCTGACTTTGTATTCTACAGCTGGTGAAGTGCCTCTGCCTTCACTGTAGTCAGCAAATAACGATGTCACTTCACAGTGGATTTTGAGGCCTTCAGAAAGAGTTCCTCCAAGTGTAACCACCCCTGTATAGCCACCCCTGTCCCATGGTTGTGAGAGAGAGGCAGATACCCTGGGCACAGCTGGTTATGTGCTGCAGCATCACCGAGTCACAGGTCATGAGGATTGGAGCTTCAGCAGAACATTGGTACTCAGCTCTGTCTGTCTGCAGCTCAAGATTTGCTCCTGCCTGAGATCAAAGAATAGGTGTAGAGCCATGAGGGGGAGGAGATGGTGGACCACTACAACCCTGCACAGACAGAGAGACATTCACCTAAAATCTCTTGTCTTGCTCTAGCAGCTGTCTTTAAAAAGACTTGTTCCTGCTGCAGGAAGCTCCGTGATGTTTTGCAGAAGAGGGTGATCAAGTTCTTCATTGACCAGAGCAAGAAGGACCCTGAGAAATATGCCAAATTCTTTGAGGAGTACGGGGTATTCATGAGAGAAGGGATTGTCACAATAGCAGAGCAGGATGTCAAGGTACCAGGAGTCCTGAAGCACCACAGCTGATGGGAAAGATTGCTGGTTCCTACTGTGAGCTGGGATGAGGGGCACTGCTACTTCTCCATGAAACCTGCATGCCTGTAACTTGTGTTCCTGGGTCTACCCAGACATACTGATTCTACAGTGCCCAAACTCTCCTTTTTTCTCACTGGGTGCTGCTTCCCACTTTGAGACCCTGCAGAGTCTCTATATCCACACTGTTGTCACCCCTCCCTGATGCAATATGAACTACAACATGTAAGAAAAGTAGGGCTTTCCCCTCCTGTTGTCCTCTGCCTGCATTCCCATTTTTAGGAGAGTTTGACCTACATCCTGTCTAGGTCACTCTTCTGCCTCCTTAATATCTGGAGCAGGAAGGGAGAGATTCAGAATCCCCTGAGCCTTTTTGCAGAGCTGCAAAAGAGGCCTGTGTGCTACAACAGGAATTCCTGGGGCTGGGAGCGGTCAGGTGGAGGTCCAGTGAGGTGCCCTGAGCTCACAGGAGCATGTTTCCTGCAGGAGGACATAGCCAAGCTGCTGCGTTACGAGTCGTCGGCGCTGCCCGCGGGGCAGCTGACCAGCCTGGCCGACTACGCCTCGCGCATGAAGGCCGGGAGCAGGAACATCTACTACCTGTGTGCCCCCAACCGCCACCTGGCCGAGCACTCCCCCTACTTCGAGGCCATGAAGAAGAAGGACATGGAGGTGGGTGAGCAGTGGTGCCATGGCCAGGGGAACACCACTGAGCTGCTGCAGCAGTGGTCAGGGCTGGCGCTCGGAGCTGAGCAGGGCAGTGAGGCCGATGACGGAGCTCTGCCTTTGCAGGGTGCCTGCTGTCTCTGCTCAGACCATGGTGTGAGGCCAGGAGGGACCTGTCACACACTCTAACCACAATACAGAAAAGATATTAAGGTCTTAGAGAGCATCCAAAGGAGGCCACAAGGATGGTGAAGGGTCTGGAGGGGAAGCCATATGAGGAGCAGCTGAGGGTACTTGGTTTGTTCAGCCTGAAGGAGACAGGTCAGACCTCACTGGTGTCTTTGACATCCTCCTGAGGGGCAGCACCAATCTCTTCACTCTCGTGGCCATTGACAGGACTGAAGGAAACAGCATGAAGCTGAGTCAGGAGGTTTAGGTTGGAAATCAGGAAAAGGTTTTTCACCCAGGTGGTCGAGCACTGGAACAGGCTCCCCAGGGCAGTGGTCACAGCACCAAGCCTGTCTGAGTTCAAGAAGCATTTGGACAATGCTCTCAGGCACATTTGTGGGATTCTTGGGGTGTCCTGTGCAGGGCCAGGAGTTGGACTCCATGATCCTGATGGGTCCTTTCCAACTCAGCATATTCTGTGATTTAGTACTTGTGCAAACATCTAGTTCTGACACCTGTTTCATACCTGTGCTGAATCCCAGAGCAGGAGCCCAGGAGCTGCTGTGCAGGGCTGTAATGGTGTTTCAGGTGACCTCTGTGGGCACGTGCCCCTTTCAGGACTGGGGTCAGTGGTGGTTCTGGACTTGTTGAGGTGCAGACCTGCCACCCATGTTAATAAATCACTCCAAGGGTTTGCTTTCATGGGGGGCCCTGAGTGATAATCACCATGGGGTTGAACCTGTGAGTTTCCCATGTGACGTTCCTGCTGTTTGGTGCAGAGTTGCTTTGGGAAGGAGGGAATGCTGTTACGTCCCAAACAATGTGTTGCTGTCCCTTTTTTGGCACAGGTGCTGTTCTGCTATGAGCAGTTTGATGAGCTGACACTGTTGCACCTCCGTGAGTTTGACAAGAAGAAGCTGATCTCTGTGGAGACAGACATTGTTGTTGATCACTATAAGGAAGAGAAGTTTGAGGAGAGCCGCCCAGGTGAGGCTCCCCTGGCCCATCCTTCAGCCACCCTGTGCCACCAGTGAGGGGACACCTCTACCCCTGCTCCTGTAGCTCCTGAGCAAGAGCCCTCCTTTCCACCCTGCCATTCTTGTGCTCTGAGGCAACTTGGAGTTCTTGCAGATCCTTTTCATCCCACATGATCGAAGTTCAAGCAAATTTGAACAGATGGAATGTCAGGTGTGGCATTGCCATGATTTGATTTTAACCCCACAATGTAAATCTGGTGCCCTGATAGAGGCAGGCAGGCCCTGGCAGGGCATGAACGTGCCCTCCCTGGGTATGGCGTGGTCTGGGATGAGGATATGTAGGTGTGTGCTGAGTAGTGCTGCCTTCCTATTCCCACAAGAGAATTGATAAATGAAAGTGTGAAATGGGCTGAGCTCAGGAGCTCAGCTCACTGTCCACTGCACACTGTAGATGCACACTCAGATGTGCCCTCTCTCCCTGCCAGCTGGAGAACGTCTGACAGAGAAGGAGGCTGAGGATCTGATGGCCTGGATGAGGAATGCCTTGGGCTCTCGAGTCACTGGAGTTAAGGTGGATATTCTGTGTTTGGGTGACTGAGTACAGGAGATCCATGGAGGTAGTGATCCGGGGAAAAAAGGTGGTGGTTGCTTGGGGATCTTCTGCCACAGATTTTTCTTTGGGCCTTGATGGAAGTCGTTCTTCTCCATGCCTCCTGTCTGTAACTGCTGTGGATGAGGGCATTTGTCATTTGGATGGTCAGTGTGGGAGCAGAAGAACCACATCCTAATGTGTAATGAGCAAAGCCCATGTTCCTAGTTGACACTCATGTTACCAGAACAGGCTTTTTTGGTAACTTTCTTGCCTGTGGACTAGAAAGGTGTGTTAGCAGGGAGTGCTTTGGGTCTGACTGCAACCCACTGCCATTTGGGCCCCCAGCTTTCCTGTTGGTTTAGGCAGTGCCTGTGGGATGGGGGTGAATCATGTGGAGGCTTGGTGTGAGTCTGTGCTGAGGAGACTCCGAGTGCTCAGCCCTGGCCCTCCTGCAGCACGTGCACTGTGTCTGTGCCGCAGGTGACGCCCCGGCTGGACACCCACCCTGCCATGATCACCGTGCTGGAGATGGGCGCTGCCCGCCACTTCCTGCGCATGCAGCAGCTGGCCAAGACCCAGGAGGAGCGAGCCCAGCTCCTGCAGCCCACCCTGGAGATCAACACTGGGTAAGAGGGGACAACACCAGCACTATTAAGTGCAGCTTGTGCTACAGTGCCTTAATCTGTGAGGCTGTGTGGCACCATCGACATGACCCACCCCCACACACACATAGTGTCCAGCCCTCTGGGGACCAGGGGGGTTATAGGAACAGATGGGAGAGAAGAGAGAAGCCCCCAGAACAGGAGAAAGAAAGTTGCCTTTTGTGACCCACCTTGGCTTAGCTGCTCGTTCGGGAAATAAATTTCTCATTGTTGCCAAAATCACCAAGTCTCAGCGTTGATCTCTCTGTCTTACAGACATGCTCTGATTAAGAAGCTCAATGAGCTGAAGGACAGTCAGCCTGATCTGTCCCAGATGTTGCTTGACCAGGTGAGAGCCAGACCTTTTCCAGAAGCAGCACCATCCTCCCCAAAGCCAGCTTGCAGACCATGCATGGCAGGGAATGGGATTACAGTGGGCAAGAATCACATCTTTCCGTGGTCCCTGGGTATTTCCAGGACTTGTGGTCAGTATGTTTCCCTATCACTTGGCCTTGAAGATGTGCCTGGTCTGAGAATGCAAGTCCTGGAGAGAGACATTCCCTTCCTCCCTCATGCAGGTTGCTCTTGCTGCTTATTTAGTGCTTTCTTCTCTTTTTCAGATTTATGAGAATGCCATGATTGCAGCAGGACTGAATGAGGATCCCAGGCCAATGGTGAGCCGGCTGAACGAACTCCTCACCAGAATCCTGGAGAAGAACTGAGCCCCCAAGGACTGAAGGATGAACTCTGTGCTGATCTCTCTTGCCTCAAGTGCAGCCACTCTCTCAGCAGCTACTTGTAGGCAGTGTCCAGTGTGGGATTCACAGGGCAGAGGGCAGGGACAATGCCAGGGACATCCAGCCCTCCCTGCACAAGGAGGAGCCACCTGTAATTACCAGATCATAGGTCATCAGCCTGTTCAAAGTGCAGTGTTCTTAGTGGGGACAAAATCCAGAGGTTGCTGCTTAAACACTGTGCCCAAGCCTGAAGAGCCTCTTTTCATACTGTTTCTAAAAATGGCCTTTCCCAAAACAGATGTTGGCAGCAAGATTCCCAGTTAGGTCTGTGAATACACCCCCCATCCACTGAATCCCTGTGCACCATTGTGCTCTGAATAAGCACTGGCAAAATGAGTTAATTAATTAAGAAACCTCCAGCTCTGACCAAGCAGGAGGAGTTTGCTGGCATGGATAGATTGCTGCCCTTGGCAGACACGGACACTGTTGGAGGAACATGTCAGTGCAATCCCATGGTAGGAAAGATCACTGAGCTGCTGGATAACTGAGTTCATCGTGGTCTTGTGGAAAAAGGGAAGTAACTGGGAAACAGCCTTCCAGCATATGGCTTTCTGGAGAGTCTCCAGGGTTTTTGTCTCATCTGTGGGATAAACTGCACGCCTAGCTGATCTGTATTTATGATAAATAAACACTTATTTTCCAGACCCTCTCCACTTCTCCCTTCCCATTACATTGTTGGTCTTTGTGTCCTCCAGATGGTGATTTGTTGGTTCTTCTCTCTTCAGATGCTGTTTGGTTCTTCAGGGCATCAAGCACTGGACAGTGGTGGGAAGAGAGGGCTGTGAAAACAACAGCAGTAGCAGGAAGTGTGGAGGGAAAGCAGGAGAATCTGTAGCTATGAACCCTGTCAGCCTTGTCTTTGGAAATGGAATTTGCCCCTTTGAATCATTTCTAAGGAGCAGTGGCTGTTCAGACAGAAATGCCACACTAGATTCCCTCTGTGTGTCTGGTTTACACCATGCAAACTGGTTTATAAGAATCCTTTCTCCTGCTCAGTGGGACTCTGAGCAGCCCTGATATTTGTTTAGCTTATCTTTAAATTGCCAGATTAAGATGCAGGAACTGGATTTGGTTAACTGTTTGGATGCTGTGCTGGACAGGACAGCCTCCAGCTCTTTAAGCTACAGGAAGCCTGGCTGTGCTCAGAGGAGTTAAAAAGGTGAGCACAGGTGAGCATTTGAGTAGTTTTATGAACATCACCTAAAATTTCATTTTTGTTCAGATGCAGAAGAGGAACTAACGTGACAGTTTAGATGGTCTTGAGAACAACAAGGAGCCACGTCCTACATCCCTGCTAATGTATCATCAAGAATGGTGTGGCAGCAGGACAAGGGCACTGCCTGTCTCCCTGTGCTGGGCACTGCTGAGGCCTCACCTCGAATCCTGGGGTCACTTTTGGGCCCCTCAAAACAAGAGAGACATTGAAGGGCTGGAGCAGGTCCAGAGAGGGAACGGAGCTGGGGAAGGGGCTGGAGCAGCAGGAGCAGCTGAGGGAGCTGGGGGGGCTCAGCCTGGAGAAAAGGAGGCTCAGGGGGGACCTTCTGGCTCTGCAACCCCCTGACAGGAGAGGGGAGCCGGGGGCGGGGGTCGGGGTCTGCCCCCAGGGAACAAGGGACAGGACAAGAGCAAACAGCCTCAAGTTGTGCCAGGGGAGGGTCAGGTTGGATACTGGGGGAATTTCTTCACTGACAGGGTGGTCAGGCACTGGCACAGGTGCCCAGGGCAGAGGTGGAGTCCCCATCCCTTGAGGGATTCAAAAGCCATGTGAATATGGCACCTGGGGACATGGGTTAGTGGGGGCCATGGCAGTGCTGGGTTCATAGTTGGCCTTGAGGATCTTTGAGGGCTTTTCCGACCTAAACAATCCTGTGATTCTAACACAGACTGAAGGAATTTCAACCTCTGGTGATTCCTAAGCAGCACAGCAGGTGAGTGTGGTATCCTGCAAGCTGCTCACCTGTTAAAGTGCCTAAAAATAGCAGCTGTTGATACAGTGCCTGGATGCTGGTTTGTAACCTTTGCTGCAGTGAGAAGCAGAGCGTGCTTGGTTGTGAGATGGTCATAAACTGATACATCTTTAACGTCCCCATCCTGGGAATCCTCCAGGAATTCCAGCAGCCCTCCAGGTGCTAATTTTTTTGCCATGAGAGATTTGTGATTAAAATATCAAATAAGATTTCTGTTCCTGGAGTGCACACCTGCCCTGTGTCCCTGTGCCCATCAGACACGGTGAGAGGTGGTGATGGTCCTGGGATACAAGAAGGAGCAGTAGCAGCAGGATAAGGAGGGTGCTTTGGCCCAAATCTCATACAGACTTAATCACACTGCTTTGTCTAAGCTTCATCACTGCACACACCAGCAGGCTCTGGGTCCTCACTCAGGCTCAGCCTTCCCTTTTGTTCTGCAAAGACCTGCAGGGAGGGCTGGTGTGAGGATGATGAGCCTGGCTGACAGAGCAGGTCCTAGTGGGAAAGGGGGATGCACTGAAGTGCTGATAGGAACACAGGTGGAAGCTGGTCTTCTGTGATGACTCTGTGTCTGAAAGGGCAACAGAGGCTCTTTGGTGAAAAAAGCAGTGAAAAGGATGAGTTGTTCCAAACCTGATGGCAAAAGGGAGGTGTAGGAAGCTCACTAGAACCTGGGTTTTCACTTTCTGCACAACCTCAAAATATGCTCTGCAAGCAGAGGAGGCTTGTATGGATCTTGCATCAGAACTGCAGCACTGTTTGTGGTGGTGAAGCTGCAGTTGTGCTCTTCCAGCTCCTGGTCTCTCCCAGCTCCCGTGGTCTCCACTTGGACATTACATTACTCATCCTCAGAGGTGTTGTATCACCAAGCAGTTTCCATCTGGCCTGTGCTCTTCCTGCAGCCAGAGTGTCCCTGGTGTCTGCAGCATATTGTGGTGAACCCAGAGAATGCAGCATGTGGGAATGGTGCTGGGAAGAGCCCAGAATGGGCTAGTTGTGTCCTTCAGCATTTGCTCTACCAGGAAGGGAATTAGGGATCTCCAACCTGGAGGAATCTCACGGAGCTTGTTTCATGTCCTGGCTGTAAAGCAATGCTGAACCCTGCCTGCTGTAGAAAACGGATCGATTGGGTTTGGTCTGTACTGGGATCTTATTAACTGCTGCCTGACTCCTTTTCTTGTGGTTGGTTTTTGGGGTTTGGAGGATTTTTTTGTTCATTTTTCTACAAATTAAACCTTGTGTGCTGACAAACTTGGTGATAAACAGCGTGGCCTCCTCTCCTGCTCTGCCCAGGCTCATCAGCTGTGGAGTCAAACCTATATCCTCCAGGGCAGAAAATGGAAAATATTTAACAGGCAGTGAAACCAGTTTGAAAGGACATTCCAGAGACCTCGTGCTTTTAAACTTGGACAGAATCCCTCTCACGTCTGGCTTGGGACCCTGAAACTGGACTGGCCATAAAGTGGTTCACGGGGCCAGACTGAAAACAGTTTTCTCTCGTCCAGACTTCCTGCTGAGACCATCGAGAGTGTCTTGGGCAGGCTCCAGGTCTGTGATTTATGGACAAACCACAAGCCAGGAATCTGCAATCTAAGCTCCTTGAGCAGCAACTGCTAAAAACATTATGGGAAGAAACGGCCACTGTTTCCAAAAGAAGAAAACTTGGGAGCCATTAATAATATTTAGCACTTCTGTGGTCCCTCACAATTGTTGATTAATCCTCCTGCTCTCCCTGTGAAGTGAGTCAGAATTATTCTTACTGTACAAATAAGGTCTGCATGGAGCTGAAATAAATTTCCTTTAAGAGACACAGTGAATCTGCATTAAGGACACAGTCCAAGACTCCAGAACCCCAGCACAAAGTGAAACAGAGGCATAAAGGCAAGTACCTGCTGGGTTTGGATGAGGCACTAAACTTGAACTTAGAGCACCTTTGAGGGACTCTCTGCCTTTCATCAGAAGATTCTTACCCAGGCAGTTCTGGGTCTGCCCAAACCTTATCCCTAGGTATAATAATTCCTGGGATTTCAGACAATCTCTGGAAGTTTGGCTGCTTACTGGAATTATCCTGTACAAAGTCCTTTCCAGCTGTTTGTCTCCCTTATTGTTTGGGAAGAAGAGGATGGCATACTATATCTATCTTGCCACCTGCCCAGAACTGCTCACCTCCTGATGCTTCTGGAGTGGGTTAAACATGGGTTTTCCTTTTCTTTCATCAGCAGGAAGCTTTTCTTCCAGGGAAAAAAAAAAAAAGTCATTTATTCTCCACCTGCTCTCAGAACCATCTTTTGTTTCTCCTTCACCTCCCCCTTTACATTTCACCTCCTTCTCCTCTGGGACATTTTGTGGCCAACGCTGTGATTCAACACAGCCCAGGCCGGGAGGGAAGTTTCTCTGCCTGGACACTCATTTTCCCGTTCTCCCAGGACAGAAAGGTGCTCCTTGTTGCTGGAGCTCCTTCTAGCAAGATTTCCATCTCCAATCACAAGGCCCTTCCCATTGCACTCCTCCTGGAACCAGTCTGGCATGTGAACAGGTGGGAATGGGTGAAGTCTGCCATAAGTCCTGGCTGAAATGGAAGAGCTGGCAGGAGCACAAGGACCAAAAGCCTCGGTAAGTAAATTTGTACAGACTCCTGATGGCCTCATTGTTAATCTATTTACAGCAGCAGGAAGGATGAAAAATTGGGGAAAAAGGCAGAGTTTCCCCTGCTTTTTAAATGTGAGTGGCAAAAGGTGTTGTAATGAATTGTCCATTAAATATCCATCCAGTGTTATTCCAAATGTCACGACATGACCTGCAGGGGATTTGGGATCAGTTAACAAAGGAGTCTGAGGAGCCAAGCAAAGCTTGTTCTCCTTTTGCAACCCAAGAAAACAAGAGGTAACTGAGTCTAAAACCCAGACCAGAAGTAAATCAGCAAGTCAATCCTTCATGGAACTGTCCCACATTAAATCCTTAGAAAATCAAGAAGTTGGAGCTGTGTCAGGAGATAGAGGGAGATTCAACTGGAGTTTTGTCTCACTGATGCATCTTGATTATTGGACCTGTTCTGTCTCAAGTGGTTTAGCAGATAGGTTAAAAAACAAGTGTTCAAAGCTACCTTGCAGCGTGCTGCAAGAAATCAAAGGACAGGCATTAGGTTTTTCAGTTGGGGAATTGTATTTTTACTGTGTTTAGAGATCCTTTAATGCCCAGTGTCCTTACTGAATGATGCTGATTCTCCCTGGAAATGGGCACTTCACTGCCCAGGAGAACAAGATGAATTTTGGGTTATACCACTTGAACTTCTGCCCTGTGACTTACTGAATGGGAACATGCTTTACAAGAGGAGATGAATATAGTGGCCTGTACCATCCCAAAATTCCCACTTTACAGTAAAGCAAACCAAACCACTTTTGAGGAAAATGCTGCCTTCTTGCTTGTTTGGCTCTTTCAAGACATTGTTCTGAGTATTGTGCTGAGCTCTGTCATCCAGCACGGCCAAAGTCCATGAGAAGGAAATTAACACAATAAATTATTGCAAACCCAAACTCTCCTCACTGGAATTGGCCTCTGTGGCTGCTTCTCTGATCACTGCTGACCTGGATTGATCAATTTGTATGGAAAAGCTTTAAAAATTAAGCTGGAGCTGCCAAAGAGCCACCAGTGTTACGTCCTAACAGAGATCAGGGGATCTGCC